GAGATTACATAGCGCTTTACATACAACGCGAAAAGAGGGATATGGCAGGGAGAGCGAGACGAGATGGAAGATTAGCGTGCTCGCGACGAGTTTCGTGCGTTTCTCACCTCGATATTTGAGCTGATTGTCTTCATCTCGGCGAGAGGAAAGCGGATTAAGGTGGTTAGTTAAAGAGCAGTTACCATACAGTTACCATACAGTCGCTACGACAAAGCAGCGAGCGCGCATGGTGGATGAAACTTCCAGAGATAGGATGTGGTAGCGAATGTGGCACTAGCGGGACGGGAAGGGCTAACAGGCACAGAAAAGGAGAGTCGTTTTCTAGAGTATGAACACTGCGGCTGTTGGAACGATGGCGACGGAATGCGTGGAGGGCCGCGTTCACGCCGAACTAACGTCCGTAACTGGCTTCAGCTACGAAGCTACGACCCGACCCGGGCCCGAGGTATATCGCAGCCGGCTGCAATAGCAGAAACTGTCGGGCTAAGTAACTGCCGGTACTTACAGTAAGTTCGCGCGCAATGAGACCGCCTACATAAATACACCTAATACACTGGCGTCTCTTCTTCTCCGGCCTCGCAGCCTTATCCTGCGTCGCGTAAATCCTCGAGCTGGGACGTAGCCTTTCGACGTAGCGATACGATGGTAAGATATGCACGAGCTGTGCGTTGAGCTGATTTATTTTGCATTTTATTATTTTCCTTTCTCGTGTCTCGTGACTTTATCCGCGGTAAAACCGCGTTTTTGATTGTATTATAAAACAGCGGCGGTGTGCACAATGCGCGCTGATATTGTTGTAATTAATACTGTTTTGCAAGGCGGTTAAATTGTAGCATTTTAATTATAAATAACAGATAAAATTTTAGGATTTTATGAACATTTTCTGAAAATTTTATGGAAAGCCATTATTTTGTAGAAGCTTAATCAAATAAATAATTTCATTAATATAATATATACCATTATTTTTTAAACATTTATTTATTAAACATATATATTTTATTGCAGAAAACAGAGAGAAAGAGAAAATAGAGAAAATAAACCAGATTTTCCTTAAAAAAATTAACATGTTTTGAGCTTTACATTAAATATTTAATATTAATTATTTAATAAAAATTTCTAAAAAAATTAATAATTAATTACAAAAATTTTCTAATCGCATAAAATATGTATACGATATTTTTAAAATTTATGATAAAATAATTCTTTGAATTGCTAAAATAGAATCTTTACGCTTCGATATTTTGTCTATGAAAATGAGATTTAAATCATGAGCGAATATTGAAGTTACCCCTTGAGGTTTATTCCGCAGTTATCCCTTTATTATAATGGGGCCTTCAATTCCCATTGAAACTTCATCAAACAATCGATGAATATATCCTTCGTAAATTTGGGTATATCTCATTATTATTGAATTTTTACTTCACTGAATTTTCTATAAGCTACTTCGTGAAACTTCATGACACGCCACGTTATTTTGAACTGATTTCGGCTACGACTTTTTTCTTATGGCACGCGTTTGGTATGCTCTCGTGTATACCGGAGAAGCCTTCCGATCCTGTGGCGGGGTAAGGGAGACCGTGACAAACAAATGCACCGCGTCAGCCCGGTGTGACACCCTTCCGTAGCTGGGACGGGGAGGCATGCGAAAAAGGCGATGAGACCGGGTAGAGGGTGGCGGGTTAAGTCGGCGAAGGCAGAGTGAGAGGGAGGCGATCGTGGTCGAGCGGTGTAGGATGAAGTACGAGGAAGAGGAGAACGAGGACGAGGAGCAGGATGAAAAGTAGAGGATCGTGGAAGCCGTGCTCAAGTAGACAAGGGACACGTCAGCCGCCATCCTTCTACTCAGCCTTTTATAGATTATTCACGTACAATGGCCGGGGGTGACGAGTGGCGCGGTGGCGAGACCTTGATGGTGCGTTGGGTCCGCGATGGATTCCTCCTTTATTCCGGGGATGACTCTCGAGTGACCCTCGACTTCTCTGATATACCGTTATAAGATTGGTAACTCGCCGGTTTTTTTTTCTTTCGTTCTTCGTTGTGAATAATTACCGTAAAATTAAGATTGAATCTCCGCGAGTCTGGAACCGAGTTTAGTCAGGAATGCGGAATGAGGATTTGCGTGTAATAGCGTTACTAAGCAATTTATGTGTTTAATTCTTTATTTTTTTCAATTAAGTCCAGCGGTGTTTACTATATTACATTCCCGTGAAATTTTCACAGAAAAATATGTGACAATTTAAATCTTTCGGTAGAAAAAAATGATTATAATTTTAATTTGTCTAATAATACAACGCATTTGAAAACAAGTGAATAAAGAAAACCTTGAATATTTTATGCCTTTTTTGCATATGAAACTGTATAAAAATAAGTTTATTTAAAAATAACTTTATTTAAAAAATAATTTCTCTTTTATGATGATGAAATTATCAAACATTCATACAAACATTCATACAATAATTAAACAACGTAAATGTCTTGCGATGATTTTACAACATTAGGATTGTACATTGTATGATTGTAAAATTTAATTGCTAATCTTCCAATAATCATTGGCGCACCTGTAAATTCCGATATGAAAAAGGATGAATTATTCGCGCGGCTTTCATGCCCGAGGCCGTTGTTCATGATTTCGGTACATTGCGCGTACACCGTCATAAACGCGATGTCGTAAAAGAGAATGCGGGAGGGAGAAAGAGAGGAAGAGAACGTCCGGACTCTCGTTTCGTTGTATGCAAATGCGAGCCGCTCGTGGTGTTCTCGCTCATGTTGTTTGGCGTTTTAATGCTGATTGGACGACTGCCGATTCAGCGGCCGTTCGTTTGCCGCGATTGTCGCTTCGGCCGTGCGTACTACGAAAAATTCTCCCGAAATTCTCACGGCACATATACAGCCGCCATTGCCGTGTAAGCAAGTCGTGAGCTCACTAATGGATGTTATAAATAGAGGTGTATTGTGTATCGTCGTACTTCTCATATATTTGTCAACTAATTAAATAAATATTGGATATATTGGAAATCTACACTGACAATCATGTTCGATTTTAAAGTCAAGAAAAAAAAAATAGGTTGTGCGTTTGTGCGTCCAGTGTTGAAAATTAAGAAAATGACGAAAGAATACGGCAGGCAATAAAAATTTTTACCAGAGGAAGAACAATTTCGTATTTCGTATACACGTGTCGTATATGTTGATACAACGATATTGCAATAACTGTGGTCGCTATTGCAATTCGCTGTTGTAAAATGAATGAGGAGTGAAACTAGCTTTTTTTCAACGTCACGTGGAAACACTTGACGTTATATTGTACTCTTTTCGAATGTCGCTGACGCGGAATAACAATCGTTGGGATCTACCTTCCGATTTCGCATACGCATACGCAAGTCCGCGTTTGCCCTTCTCTCTACCCTTCTTAAGTGCGCACCCATCGCGTCGTCAACTTCGTTCGAGATGGTATCGCGTGCTCGAAGAAATCGATATAGGAGGAAGTCGTCGCGACGCTTCCGTGCAACTCGCACTTGATGCACGAATATCGTCGAACATCACGGGCGAAGGAAAAGGGCGGCGAGGGACGTGATAGTAGAAGGGAGTGAGTCGAGGGCCCGGAGGGGTCGGTTCCATCAAAAATTCAATCCATACGAGTATTCGTTGTTTCGTCGGTGGGAAGGAAGCGGAAGCAGTAAGAGAGGCGTGAAACGTTTTGTAGAATTCTCGAGACGTTGCCGGCAGGTCCGGGAGGTTGGCTTCTCGGATGAAGGAGTTGAGAGAGGGAGCGGTGGCGGAATACGCCGTTCCGCAGGGAACAGCGAAACAGAAAAAGGGAGGCAGTCGAAGGAAAAGAGGCGGAAAAGGAAGGGACTTGCGTGCGAAAGGTAGAGGAGAAGAGAGCACGCGGAAAATCGACGGGAGTAGCTCGGTGGCGCGTTTGGTTCTTGAAGCATGTGTGCCCCATAAATAACATGTAAATATTTTCAATAACTGCCGGGGCGGCCCCGGCATGAAAAATGCAAACCGCTTTGCGTCCGGCTCTCGGCGCGTTGCATTCCCTCGTATCGTCGTATCGCTCATCCCTTGTTCGTCGGGATCGGCCGGCGGCATCCACCCCCTTAGCTCACGGCATCGAACTGTCTTTTAATATATCCGTGTGTACACGAGGTCCCGTGTGAAATTTATGACGTAACTGATCGCGCCAGGTTCGATATTCGTTTTGCTTTAATCCCTCAGTTTCCAATGTCGCCGGCGGCTTTTACGAATTTACATAAGTTTCTGAAAAATTACGTAACGATATCGGTGTCGTGATGAGTGTTTAATCTTTTGATTCATGTAAGATATAATATTACCTAATATTATCACTTTAATGAATCTAAAAATTTTCAGTCTATGACAATTATATCTATATATAACACAAAATAATTTTTTCAATATTGATTTGTTATATATCTCTATAAGTAGTATATGTTCTGCAAGTGGAATATGAAATATTGATTTTGTTGAAAATAATATGAAACATTAATCCTTAATCTTAGCTTAGCTTAATGCTGTAATAGATAAATAAAAACTGACATGATATATCGCGAGTATTTCCAAGTTTTTTTTTTTTAAGTGATTCTTTTGGAGTAATTTTTAATCCAGAAAATAAAAAAATGGCTGCAATTAATTACCTTGTAATGACTACTTTTAATCGTGGAAATAATAGCGGCGGAAATTAACCTATTCAGAGAATTAATATTACCGTATCTCGCGATTTACGAGAATGAATTAATACGGAAATGTATTATGCTCTCGACCGGCTTTCTTTTTACGATCGCGCGCTTTGATGTATGTGCTACATCGAGATATGTATCTCGCAATGTATGCCGCTCTACTATAGAACCGCTACTATAGAATCGCCTTCGTACGCGTTCACGATGGAAATACTATTACTATCAGCAAATGCTTGCTTAATTAATGTCCCGAGCGACGAGCACACATTCGTATTAAACATCCTCCTTTCCGTTTGTTTGCAGGGGCTTTGGATTCATCACATTCGCAGACCCTGCGAGCGTAGACAAAGTGCTGGCGCAGGGCAATCACGAACTGGACGGCAAGAAAGTGAGTAATCATCACATTCTACCAGATTAATTCTAACGCTGCGCGATCTGATTCCGAGTTGAAGCTTCTGACCTTTGTAACTTCTTAACTATATTATTAACATAATATTGTATAACATAAGTTTACAATTCTCTGTGTAAAATTCCTTGGCAATTCTTAAATCTTTTTATTTTTATCTTTTTTTAATAATTTTTTGTAATTTATTAAATTATCCGGTCGTAAGCGAGAATTTTCGTTTATGTTCTGTAGTTTGTTTTACTATAAACAACTTCTTTCTGTCGAGATTCTTGACGATCATAAACATTATGCTTACCACCAGAAGAATCGCTCCGCGGAAAAGGATAGCTATAAAAAAAAGATACAAATTGCCGTGATCAAATGTGCGTCACGCGAGCAATTAATTTTCACATCCGATCAGAGTTGCTGTCCCTAGATAATTGAAAGAGCATGCCGCGAGTCGATTGATCAAACCGATTGCAGTCCACAGATATATTCCGGTTCAGGATGCGTCCGTATCATCGATTTCGGGAGCAAAATTTTATTCACGTTTGAAACTTCATTAATTTAGCGTCAAACGTTGTTTCGTTCGGTTCGCTACAGTGCAGGTGCATTTCGTTATCTACATATCACAAATGTATAAGTAGTCAAATTAGTTAAATTATTAATGAAATCCCGCCATTGCTGATTCTCTTACAGAGAAAAGAAAACAAGAAAAATTAATTTATGTGTCTCCTTAAACAAACAAATTCATTAAGAGTATATATCCGTTGTAATTTGTGAATAATTATAATTGAAACTTTTATCAAATTGAATTTCTGCTGCTTAAAATCTATTTTAGAAGCAGATTAATTGAAAAATAAAATTTATTTTTCTTCGTGACATTTCTATATTTTAATCACGTGAATCAAATAGCATTCAAGATATATATTTGACACGTTTATCAGTATCGCGAAATTTTATAACACATAATGAAATCTTTCTCTGTTCTAATCAATAAATTGTAATATTATAACGAAAAAAGTAATGTAGATTTATTAAGTTTAAAAAGAAAATTAAATTTATCTTAAGAAACATAAGCCAAAACTATGATAAAGTCATAACTTACTTCAAATTTGTTTCAAGTTATAGATATCTCACATTTAAAAGTAATAATCGAGATGTCGCGAAAACTTTCCAATATCAGGCAGTTTCACGTCTCTGATTGAATTTTCACCTGTGAATAATTTTTTTCCAATTTATCGAGAAGGATATCATATTTCTCTATTGGTTCTCGCCTTTTCCCAAGGGACATTCTACACGCGTTCCGCTCGATGCCGACGGTGCGACGATTAATCGTGGGCCGACATAGTCGTTTGGCAAACGTGCCACCCTTCCTCCTCTCTTTCTCTTTCGCGGTGGGCAAGACACAATGCTCGTGGAATAATATCGTAAGACGGCAAGCGCGAGGTTGTACGGCGAGAGAGAAATAGTTGCGGACATTAGCTGTCCACGGCGCCATAAGTAGAGCGACTCCACCGCCGGGGCGACCGCCTAAGTGGCCCCGAATACGCTTAAGCGAGGGCAACCCCAGCCGTATCCCCGGCTCGCATAAATTTCGCGTAATTCGCTCCGGCTAATGCAAATTGCGAATGCACGGATCCGGAAGCTAACACCTTCCCGATAGCTAGAAGAGAATATCGCGCGTATAGGGCAACCGCCAGCGCATCCTATTAAGGCTTCCTCTTAAGGGATGAGATGTCCTCACCCTCCAGCACTCTATCTACCCCTTCCTCTCTTCCTCTTTCCGAGGAAAAAGGAAGAGACGAGGAGTGTACAAGGAATGCAAACGCGCGGAAGAGCCCGTTACTTTGATTCGCTGACAAGTTTCGCCGCATTAATTAGTGCGGCCTTCACCCCCGCCCGCGTTAACGAATGTGGGGGTTCCCTTAACTCGCGCTAACACGCAAATATAAATAAAGTGGGACAAATGCGAAATATGCGATATTCTACCGGCAAGTGTGGCTGTCGTATAGTTTCTCTTCGTTTTGCTTTTCATGTGTATAAACTTTCCTAGAATAGAGTAAAAGTATTTCTAGAATAGAATATTATTTAAAATTTCGTCGAAATTGGATGTTTGTTATAAATGAATATTAATGATACATCCTGCATTTAATTGAATTAAAGAAGACATTAATTACACAATTTTGGCTAAATTAATGCGCTAAATTTTCTAAGATACAAAAAAATCTTTTAAAGAATCTTAAAATATTATATTTTTTATTAAAGATATGTGTGGCTGAAAAATTGAAATGTTTTTTGACACAAGGAGTAAATGGAAACTAAGAGAACGTTTTCACAAAACGTGAGCAGATGCCTAGGCCACTCCGATTATATAATATTATCGAAAATCAGCGCGGGTTAGTTCACGCAAGAGCGATTTTACGGGTCGATACGCCAGACGTTTCTCTCCATCTGGCATGGACAATGATTTTCGCAACGTGCCGCGTAAGCATCCAACGTGGCACAATGCTGACCGGTCAGAATAGCCAGCAGATTCTGCTTAATCGGGTGCTGATTAAAAAATGTACGGATCGAACGTGCGCGTCCTCGTTTGCATCCCGTTTGATCTCGACAGGCGTAGCGGAAGTAGCTAAATCGGTTGTACTCGCGCGTGTTTCATCCATAACGGGCGTTCTATAATATGATGTTGCGGAACTGTTCTCCACCCTCTCATAGAAGTTCAGTGATGTAGACCTACTCTGCAGAGTTGTAGATTAGACTGCGAACTTAGAGAAATAGCAATTATTACATTAACGCGGAATTGGAAGTGATTAAGAATTAAATATTTTTATCGAATTAAATTTCAAGGGAGTATGAATAACGCGATATTCCGATGCATTTGAGTAAGTCTTGCGTAAACAATTTTTCAATTTTTGCACACGAACAAAAGTAACGATCCTTTCTGGAAAATTTTTCATGACGTAAATTAAAAAAAAAATAGAATTTGAAGACCTTAAAATAAAGTTTTTAAAGAAATTTATTTCAATAAAATATTTATACATAGCGAAGTTTTTAATTATAAAAAAATATATTATACTAATATATAAAAAGTATGTAAAAATTATAGAAAAAATAGTTTTTATATTTGTTTGAATATTCAATAAAATTGATAAAATTTTGATTATATTTATATTTTACATAAAATATTTTAAATAAAATATTTTTCTTTTCTTCTAATGTTAATTGCGAAAATATTCTATAACTTTTTTAGAAAGATGATCTTATTTTAGCAATAGAAATATAAATTGTGTTAATATTATAATGTTAATATTATAATATTTTTTTCATATTAATATAAATAAAAAAAAATTGAAGAAGATTAATCTGTAATAATAATCAAAAATATATTTATAATTTTTAATTACTTTGCAATCCCACTGTATGATATATTAGATGCATGTAATAAAGGGAGATGACTTGACATGATATAAAGGATAAGAACACAGATGCGGGTGATAAGGTCTAAGAAGGAAATCGTAAGAGGAAAGAAAGCTTTAAGGATGGATGCACGCGAAATTGTGGAAGCTCTTTAGAACTCTCTGCATGGCCCGCATTCCTGGATACCTTCAGACGTCTCGATGCTTTAGAAACGTATCGTATGAGAGCACAAGTGGCGGACAAATCTCTCATCCTTTCCTCCTTCGAGAATCTCTCCTCCTTAAAGAAGAAAGCGGGTTTTAACCCTTTCCAAAACGTATTGATTTTGTAATAAAAAAAAAATAATTATACACATAAAAAGGCACTTTCTCATTTTAGTTCTTTCGATAACACAATCTTTTTGTTGTTTTGTACGATATTTATTGCTGAAAATTTTCAATCTTTATTATTTAGAAAATATTTTGTACTATCTATAAAAAAAATATTCATTATTTACTGTTAAATATTTATATTGGTAATATAATTTTAATTCTATCAAAATATGTATTTAGGTAAAGTTATTTTTAATTAGAAAAAAATTACAAGAAAAAGATTTTAGAATTAGACATTTTATCATAAATGTTAGTATCTATTACCATTATTTTGATAACATTGATTAATCTTTTATAACATAAATTAAATTTTCTTTACATTTTTTAATACAATTAATATTTAATATATTTTTCATACAGTTTTATTTATGCTGTTAATTTATTTCTTAATATCAAGTTTCTTTCATTTCCGTGTGTTAAATATGCAGCAGCTCAAAGATTTGTAGCACGCTGACTTGTTATCAATTTCGAGGGAATATTACATCAAGTATAAAATGAAATGGAAATAAAATCGGATATTTTTATCGAGGTTATCGGGGAAATAAAATCCTTGCGGGATTGTGCGTATTAAAGTGTATATGTTTCGTTGGGAATTAACCGAAACGATAAGTCGATATAATGCTGAAATGCGGTTTTCCGATACTTCTGTGAATGCAGTTTTCCATACTTACGCAAATTGAAATTCTCGCAAACCTTGATTGCAATGTCATAATGTAGTTAAACGAGCTTTTTCATAAAGATAGTATTAGGAATCGATATTTTTCGTAATGACATTGCAATCATACCTACCGTAATATTAGTTTTTATATCAATATAGATTGAGCCTGGTAGAGCGAAAGCGATCTCTCTCTTTTTGTCTCTTACGTTAAAGATGCAGTGCATTGGAAACAAAGTATTAAATGTATAATTAAATATTAGTACATAATTATGACATATTTATACAAGTTTTTGCAATTGTTTTTAGCCATTGGTGATTTTATCTTTAACTTATTTTACACAAAGCATTGTTGCAGATATGTATGTTTTCATGTATAATTCATTTGTTCGAATAAGTATTGCTTAAAAATAAATTATTATAAATTATTACAAATAACACTGGCGAGATTTTTTTAAATTAGTGTAAATAACTGTGTATATAACTTTTTTCCTTAATGACACATACGTATTTGATAATAGATCGATGTTTCTTTAATACTGCGTGCCTAAATGGAT